GCTTCTCCAGCCATGCTGAGGCCGCGTCCCACATACAGCAACTAGAAGGATGTGCAGCTATGACATACAACTATCTACTGGGGCTTTGGGGATAAAAAGAAAAAAAAGGAGGAGGATTGGCAATAGATGTTAGCTCAGAGCGGGTCTTCCTCAGCAAAAAGAGGAAGATTAGCATGGATGTTAGCTCAGGGCTGATCTCCCTCACAAAAAAATAAATAAAAAAATAAAGTGAAGATCATCCAGACAGAACCGTTGCCTTAATTAAATAATCTTTAAATGCCATTTTTAGCCCTGTCAGCTGTCTTCCTAAAACAGCACAGCTAAGTACTTATGAAGAATTTGTTAAATTGCTTAGTGATTTCAAGAGTTCCCTCCAATTTTACTTACAGACTAAATAAATAACCATTTAGTCTTCTGGTGTAAGTAGAAAACATTTGGTATTTTTCCATATTATAAAGGTGAGCAAATTGTAAAAGTTTTTAATAAATTATGATAGGAAAAAATGGACTGCATCTCTATTTATTTAAATCAAGTCCTCCTGACAAGTGATTTACAACAATAATTACATCAAACCTACCTTGAGCTTTGGCAGGAAAGTTCTCAAAGGTCCAAAAGAAAAACAAATCCAGCGGCATACAGTATCACTCGATGCCTAACAAAACATTCTATGTATGTGTTAAGTTTTATTTACATCGACCTGAAAGCACTGGTAAAATCTAGACTAAAAGATAATGCTTAGAAAAATAAGGCAAACAATTTAAAATTTAATACGTGAACAAGCACAGCTGAGAAGTCTTGAACACTACAGTGTTTACACTATTATATAACTCCTACAGACCACAATATGCCCAAATAAGAAAATCCCAGAGTTTGTGATCAACATAGCATGAAACTACCGTTAACCAACCAATGCATATTTCTTGTGTTACTACCAAACTGGGAATGGGATGCCTATTTAAGAAATGAACATTATTGACAACTACCAAACAAAACCGTCTTCTTGGATTATTTCTCCATTTACTTTGTGACCTCGCTGCAGACTGAGGTTTAGGCACAGTGGTTTCCAGGTGCTTAATAAACTCTACGGTCGGTTTTTTCATAAATCTACCAAAGTAAGATTTTTAAAAATGAATACCTCTTGCAACACTTACCCGTTTTGACCGGACACTGAGTTTCTTTGCTCACCACCAAAGAAGTGGTTAGAAAATTCTCCTCAACTTCATTCTTGCCTAACTCCAATGGTTTCTTACCAAATCTAACGGGCAGAATTCTTTTTAGGTGGCCAGTTCATCAGTTCAACATGATTTGAGCGCCTATGTTACGGTTCTCACCCCTGAACAGCTTCCCGAGCTTCTAACGGCAAATTGAACTTTTATGAAAACACATAAGGTTACAAACCCAGCCTACCGAGATTTTTTTTTTTTTACCGGACATGTTACAAATTCAAGGCAAAAGCTCCAATA